GGCTCTCCCTTTCAAATTTTCAGTTCAAGCTAATTATACCTCCCCGTCTGCTACCCTCACCAGAAAGTGGTTATTGCTTCAACAGATAACACCCAGCAGAAGCTGGCTAAGGTCATGCTGGAGCTTCAAGTTTCCCAGTATCAAAGATACAGTAAAACAGAGTGTGGTCGGTACTAGAACTGCAATGGCCCAGAGTTTAGAAGTATTGAAAGATCCCACCTTTCCATTCCATTTCTGCCACTGAGACCTTCATGGTCTAAGACAACAGTTTTGCATTTTGGAAGGTGAATTGTGCAAACTCCAGGAAGCACTGAAGGACCATCTTGAAAATTTGACTTGTTCAAGCTCTGGTCAAACGTGTCACATAAGTGGTAAACTTACAAATGTGCCTGCCTGTGTCTACCATCCTGGAGAATCCTGAGCTGTACTTCCTCCCATGCTGCCACAGCCAGCCACCCATCTTAACTCCTCATCCGTCTCTGCATCCACTTCATTCACCTCCTCCTCTGCCTGCACCTCCACCACCGATAGTACCTTTGCTGCTCAGAAATTCTTTTTTTTTTTTTAGTTTATTTATTTTGAGAGAGAGAGAGGGGGAGGGAGAGAGAATCCCAAGCAGGCTCCATGCTGTCAGCACAGAGCCCGATGCAGGGCTCGAACCCACGAACCACGAGATCGTGACCTTAGTCAAAACCAAGAGTTAGACGCTCCACTGACTGAGCCACCCAGGCACCTCTCAGAAATTCTGATTGTACTAAAACACCTCAGGCTGCACCATTAAAAAAGATGAAGATCTACTAACTGAAATTAAGGAAGACACAGTTTTGATGGAGAGGTTTGTACCACACCAAAGGCACAGAATCCACTAGTTACTGTCTCTGACCTGCAGAGCTCCAAAGTGTAACCAATCTACACTTACAAATGTCTTATTTACTCCTGGTAAAAGCCAGATAGATCTGTGGAAACTACTTAGGAAAGTCACCGTAGATCGGAGCCCATGTGGAACCCCACTTACCAAAAAAGAAAATACGGGAATGGGAGCTAGGCTGACTCCAGTCACGACCCGGACCTTAAGGAGAAAGTCTCAGTGGGATCATCTTGGAAGCCCAACTCAAACTCTGCCACTTTCTACAGGCAGCTTTGTTGAACAAAACTGATGCCAACTCTGCCTGACTGCATGTGATGGTCCAAAAAATACACAGATAAAATCACTGCAACCTTTTTTTTAATGTAGTAGAGGATGTAGAAATAGTTAACTTGTATATAATTCCATCTAAAGAATTAAAGTATGTTTGGAGCCCATTCTTACTGTGGTATAAAGTGGGTATTTGGATATTTTTTAGTTTGTATAACCAATAAGAAAGCAGATGAGAAAATGCAATCCCCAAAGTGATGTTTAACCTGCAATTACCCAAATTAGGTTGGAGAGGTTGTTCATATTTAACTAGATAACTAATTTGTACTTAATAGGTACAGTTATGACATTAAGAAAATAACTTGGTGTTCATTCATCTTGAATATTCTTGAATATTATTGAATTATAATTATTCATGAATATGAATATTCAATATTATAAAAAATAATTATAAAAATAATTATTTCAACCTAGAAAGCTAATGCATTCATTAAGTGCTGAAACTTGATCGGTGAAAAAGACCCTCTAGATTTGTTTTCTGTTTGCCATAAACAATTAAGGGGTAAGATCAGCCCCCATCCAAACCCAATTATTTTCCAAAAGGATTTGAAGCAAAATGCTCACCGTCACCTTAAAAGTCAGAATGTGGGGCGCCTGGGTGGCTTAGTCGGTTAAGCGTCCGACTTTCGCTTGGGTCATGATCTCGCGGTTCGTGGGTTCGAGCCCCGCGTCGGGCTCTGTGCTGACTGCCAGCTCAGAGCCTGGAGCCTGTTTCAGTCTGTGGCTCCCTCTCTGACCCTCCCCTGCTCACGCTGTCTCTCTCTCCTGGAAATAAATAAAACATTAAAAAAATTAAAAAAAAAAAGTCAGAATGTATCATTTCTAGAATCATAAGTAGGTAGTTATTTGTGGCTCACTGAAGTCTGAGATTTTCCTTACTTTGATATCTACTCTCCACATTCATGTGGCTATATATAAGTTTCACCAGGACCTCAACATGAACCTTGTATTTTCCACAATGCCCCTAAGGATTCTCTGAAGTCCATAGCAGATTCACTGTGAGACCTAATTCCCTGTCCTCAACAGCCTGTCGATTCAGTAACAGTATTAATGCACACCTCGGTGCACTTTTGTTCTTTCCTGCCAGCCCAGAGTTGCCAGATTCACCAATTATAAATACACAACACTCAAATTTGTATTTCAGATAAACAACAAATAACTTTTTTTCCTTTTTTTTTTAGAGAGAGAGGGAGCATGTGAGCGGGGGGAGAGAGGCAGAGGGTGGGAGGGAGAGAGAATCTCAAGCAAGCTCCACGATAAGCATGGAGCCCAACACAGGGCTCCAACTCACAAACCATGAGATCATGACCTGAGCTAAAGTCAGACACTCAACCCACTGAGCCACCCAGGCGCCTCACAACAAATAAATTTTAAGTATAAGTATGTTCCATTAAACAATGGATGATTTCTTTTAGTAGAACTATGTCCCAAATATTGCATGGGACATAGTTATACTAAAAAAAATATTCATTGTTTATCTGAAATTCAAATTTAACTGGACATTCTATATTAGGCAACCCTATCAGTCAGTCCCCTACAAAGTTGCCAATTATTTCTGGGAGCCCCAAGTTTGTCAGATATATCTATTTAGAGGTGGACACTACTATAGCTTCAGCCAGGATCCCCATCACTAACGTGTTAAGTATCATGGAGGAAGGGAACTCTCATTAGGGGTGAATGTGACTGAAGGCACAGGATTAGCTTTGGTGCTGATAAACCCCCCTGCAGGTCCAAGAATAAAGATAGCAGCACCTCGTGGACAGGAAACAAAGGTTTTTAGAGTTTCACTGAAATTTCTTGCCTGACAGGAAGCAGCTACATATACGGTATCCTTGAAATATCTCCCCAGTTAGCATAGGCTAAAAAAGATATTTTAGTGATTTCCAAGAAATGCCCAGAATTCTACAGATAAATACTGCTTTGAGATGACAAACACAGTGAGTGTTGTGGAAAGTCACCAGCCTGGAAAGCAGACCTGGGGACAATATTTTGTTCTTAGGAGACCCACATTTATGTTTACAACACATTTATGAATGAAAATGAAACAGATGATGAAGTTATGAAACGTATCTGATTCTACTTTTTTTCCAAAAAACTTGCTAGGTACATTTATATTATGTAAGAATAAAGGGAATAATCACTGAGAATAAGACATTTGAGTATTTGTAACAATATTTTAGGGGCATTTATAATGTTTATAATATTAAGAGACCACCATGTACTGTCTCTAATTTAAATGATGATTTGATCACTGTTGTAGAATAATGGTTCATAAAAGATGCTATGGAATAAAAAAATACTATAGAAATCCTGTAAATAAATACTTGTAAGGCTGCTATTTGCCACTGTACCAGTATTAAAATGTGTTCTAACCTTCCATCTTTTACTAATTTTGATAACAGGTTTTATACTATTCCCACTCGAGAATCCTATAAATGCTATGGCTTCATTAAACTGTTGCTAATCACATAAAAATGGTTCATGTACTGTAGAAAACAGTATGGTGGTTTTCAAAAAATTAAAAATGTGAGTACAACAGGATACAGCCACCTCACTTCTGGATATATACTCCCCAAATTGAAAGAGTTTGAAGAGATATCAGGGTTGAAAGCAGGGTTTGCATATCCATGTTCATAGCAGCATTACTCACAATAGTCAAAAGGTGCAAGCAACCCAGGAGTTCATTAACAGATAAATGGATAAACAAACTATGGTATACAATGCCATACTATTCAGCCTTTAAAAAGGATGGACATTTTTACATGTGACAACATAGATAAACATGAGGACATTATGCTAAGTGAAATAACCCAGCAACAAGAAGACAAATACTGTATAAGTCTACTTAAGTACCTAGAGTGGTCAAATTCCTAAAGATACAAAGTAGAATGGTGGTTGCCAGGGGCCAGGGAAAGGGGGTGGGGAAATGATCAGTTGTTTAAAGGGTAGAGTTTAGTTTTGCAGAATGGAATTATGGAGGGTGGATGGTGGTGATGGTTGTACAACAATATGAATGTACTTAATGACCCTCAACTGTACACTTAAAAACCCCTACGATTAGGGAGCCTGGTGGCGAGGTCGGCTAAGCTTCAGACTCTTGATTTCAGTTCAGGTCATGATCTCAGGGTTGTGGGATTCAGCCCCCTCTATCAGCACAGAGTCCCCTTGGGATTCTCTCCCTCCTCCGCTTGCTTCCCCTCCCTCTCTCTTTCAGAATAAATAAACATTCAAAAATATTTAGAAGTGGCTAAGCTGGTAAACTTTATGTCAGGTGTATTTTAATCTTAAACAATTGTAATAAGCAACATGCACACTCAAGAGGACTACATTACACTTTTAACAAGCTTTCAAATTTGTTGCCAGTAACTCTTGTGTACTTCTCATTTCTTCCTAGTGTGTAAAACTCATCATTTTGTCTTTGGGGAGTTTCCTGAAACTGCAAGGGCAGCAGTTAAAGACAAAGACAAAACAAAATTTACAATTTCTAACTACACCACAGTGAGCATCTCCTCCTCCACCTCCATATTTAGGACTATCCTCGTCGTTCATTCTACCCTACTTAAATAACTACTGTAGATGTTACATATTAGGACTTACAAAATACATCAATACTAAGAAAACACGCTTCGTATTCGTAGATATTTGGCTTCCTTGTACGGCTGCACTCGCAGACAGGTCTGCAAGCCGATCACAGTGAAAAAGCCCTGGCCTACAGCCTGCAGACAGAACCAGGCCCCGCCCCGCCGGCGGGCCAATCAGCCGCGCGCCCGGGAAGGACGCACAGCTGCCAGCCGAGTAAGTCGATGAGGCCCCGCGAGAAGCCCGGCTCCCGCCGGAGCGTTCGCGTTGCTTCGGCAAGCGGCTCGCCATCTTTTCCAGGCGGCCGGGTAGGTGCCCTTCTTCCCGAGACGCAGGCTGGTGGCCCGGCCTTGAGTCGGCGCGGTCGGCTGTCTGCGCGGGGGGGCGGATTACAGGTTCGGCCCCGGAGGGTTGGGCGGGCGGCGGCCGCTGCCCGGGGGAGGGGGCGTGGGGAGGGCGCGCTCTCCGGGGCTGCGGCGCCGGGATGGGCGAAGACCGGCTGCCTTATCTTAGGGAGCAGCGCCCTGCTGCTGTGGAGTTGCACGGTTCAAAGAGCGGCCTAGGGAAAGGGGCAGCGAGTGCAAAGCCAGACTCCGCGAACGCGGAATTCCGTGGGCTTCAGTTGTCTCTGAAAACTTCACGTAGCATTTGATCAAACGCCGCCAGCAGAATAGCTCGGATTTGGTTGTAGTTAATGTTTTAAAACTCCAAATCTGATTTGAAGAGAAGGAGTTAGAGATACGTATTTATGCGTGGGTGGTGAAAAACCATTCGTATTATCTCCGTGGCCGTGGTTATGAGTGTGGTCCCCAGATGGGTGGCGTCGTCACCGTCATCTGGCAGGTTGTTAGAGATGCACATTCACAAGTTTGAGAGCCACGGCGCCAGCCAACTACACATAGGCACACGAACTAAATTGCGAACTCCTGACTTGTGCTTCTGGGTTAAAACAATTTGACTCAAGTTAGTCTTGTCTTTCTCATACACGTGTAATTGATTCATCGGGATCAGATACCTTTCTTATGTGCTGATTCCCACTCAGTACCTGGAACTTCCTTTGGAGATCTCGGTCTTTCTTGGTAGCTCCCCATGCAAGTTAGTGATTATCCTCAACTGTAAAATGAAGATGACGGTACTACTTCCAAGAGTTTTTGTGAGGATTTAATGAATGAATGTATGTAACAGTGTTTGGCATGTAGTTAAGAGTATTATATATATATATTATAATTTTGATATTAGTGTCAAAGCCTGAAGCAGATGAGAAAAGTGATTTTAAAAAAGTAAGAACTAGAGGAAAGAGATTGTTAGTCAAAGTCATGTAGTGGAATCACTGGTGCCCCTCATTAAAGGAAACCAACGCAGGATGGTTACTTTTCTTTAACACCTTGCTGCTCCGAATGTGGTCTGTGAGCCAAAGTCTCTGCCATTAGAAGATTCTGCCATTAGCAGAATCTCAGGCTCATGTCAGGTGTATTCAATCAGAAGCTGTTTTTAACAAGATCCCCAGCAGGGTTAGATGCAGCTTTGTTTGGAGGGAGTGTGGGATCAGCTATAAGAGTGCTCAAGGAATTCCATCCCTCAGTCAGTGACCACAGGGATTTGGCAGGAGGACTTGAACTTGCAGCTGGTTCCACTCTTCTACCTCAACTCCTGGTCTTGCATCATTTTTCAGTTCTAACAGTTCTAATTCCTAGTCCCAGGTAAAGCCCTGGATCTGCTGATTATTATTGGAGAAAGTGGCATAGTTGCTAATAGCATGACTTTGTAGGGGTTGTAGTCAAAACTCGGCTGCTTGAAAGGTTGTGAGTTGTTTTTTTTTTAAGCAGCGACTTTTTTTTTTTAATGTTTTATTTATTTCTAGGAGAGAGAGAGACAGCGTGAACGGGGGGGGGGGGGGGGAAAGAAAGCTCTGCACTGAGAGCAGCGAGCCCGATGTGGGGCTCGAACTCACGATCCGTGAGATCACGACCTGAACTGAAGTTAGTTGGACACTTAACCGATTGAGCCACCCAGGCGCCCTTGCTTGAAAGGTTTTTTGATTCCTCTCCCTTTGCATAATGCTCTTATCGAACTGTTTTCCCAGATCCCCATTCCCGCAACCCAGCTTCCTCACACAGTAACATTCCTGGTGGATCATTTCACCATCTTCTTGATACATGTACTAATGTGAACTCTGTCAGCTTCTCTTCTTTTTGCTTTAGAACCTTTGTTTCCATTCCTGCTTATTCATTTCTGCTTATGAAGGAGTGTAAAATCTCGTTGCCTATGAAAAAAGCCTTTTCTGGGGGTGCCTGGGTGATTCAGTTGGTTAAGTGTCCGGCTCTTGATTTCAGCTCAAGTCATGATCTCATGGCTTGTGAGTTCCAGCCCTGCATCAGGCTCTGTGCTGAACCTGCTTGGGATTTTCCCCCTGCCGCCTCTCCTCCACTCATACTCATGCTCTCTCTTCTTAAAAAATAAAAACAGAAAAGCCTTTTCTGTAGCCTTGGTTTTATACATTGCCATCTTTTCAGAGCTTCTGTTCCATTCAGAGATGCCCTTTGTCACCTGCTTAGTTCTTCACTGGTTAGAAATAGGTTTCTCCCTATCAGTCTGTGAAAGTCATTTTACAGATGACCAACTAATTAAGCTATCTGTCCACCCCCCTTTATTTTTCTCAGGTTTTTTGAAGTATTCAATATAGTTGACTAATGCCACTTTCAAATTAATCCCCTCTCAGTTTCTTCTTTTTTTTTTAAATTTTAAATGTCTTATTTTTGAGAGAGAGAGAGACAGCATGAGTAGGGTAGGGTCAGAGAGAGAGGAATTGAAGACAGGCTCCAGGCTCTGAGCTAGCTGTTAGCACAGAGCACAACGTGGGGTTCCAACCCATGAACCGTGAGATCATAAACCTGAGCTGAAGTCGGATGCTCAACTGACTGAGCCACCCAGGCGCCCCAGCCCTCTCAGTTTTTACACATTACATTTTTTTTAAAGCTTGTCTTCTCTTCTCATGACTTTATTCCTTAGTTTAACTCCCCCCCCAATAAAGTATACAGTCATTCAGTATTGTTTTTTTTTTAATTTTTAATGTTCTATTTATTTTTGAAAGAGAAACAGTACAAGCAGAGGAGGGAGAGAGAGAGGGAGACAAAAAATCCGAAGCAGGCTCCAGGCTCTGAGCTGTCAGCACAGAGACTGATGCAAGGCTCAAACCCATGAACTGTGAGATCATGATCTGAGACGAAGTTGGATGCTTAACCAACTGAGCCACCCAGGCGCCCCTACAGTCATCCAGTATTTCTAACAGTTTCTAGAATGTGGCAGGGATCCTAGGATACCTTTCTCACTGTTACTTAGTATTTTGGTTTTAGATTTTTTTTTTTATCATTTACATTATTCTGAGAGAGAATGAGAGCAAGCAAGAGGGGGAGGGGCAGGGAGGGAGGGAGAGAATCCCAAGCAGGCTCTGTGCTGACAAATCAAGGCTGGGCTTGATCCCACGAACTGTGAGATAATGACCTGAGCTGAAATCAAGAGTCAAGACACTTAACCGACTGAGCCACTTAGACTCCCCATTTTACTTTTTGTTTTGTTTTGTTTTGTTTTGTTTATTTCTAGGAGAGAGAGAGAGAGAGAGACAGCGTGAACAGGGGAGGGTCAGAGAGAGAGGGAGTCACAGAGAATCCGAAGGAGCCTTCAGGCTCTGAGCTGGCAGTCAGTGCAGAGCCCGACGTGGGGCTCAAACCCACGAACCGCGAGATCATGACCTAAGCGAAAGTCGGACACTTAACCGACTAAGCCACCCAGGCGCTCCCCTGTTTTACATTTTTAAACATAAAAAGTTGTGGGTTAAAAAAAATTGGACGTGTTGTGTTTTTTTTTTAATTATCAGTGGTTTACTTACTTTATCAGTATGTTTGACCAGTTCATTTGTTCATCATTGGTTCTTTTATTCACACCTTTTCTTTTTTTTAATAGTTTATTGTCAAGTTTGTTTCTATATAACACCAGTGCTCATCCCCACAAGTGCCCTCCTCCATGCCCATCACTCCCCTTCCTCTCCTTCCCACCCCCATCTGCCCTCAGTTTGTTCTCACCATTCAAGAGTCTCTCATGGTTTGCCTTCCTCCCTCTCCCCAACTATTTTTCCCCTTCTCCTCCCCTATGGTCCTTCGTTAAGTTTCTCCTGATCCACCTATATGTGAAAACATATGGTAGCTGTCCTTCTCTGCCTGACTTATTTCGCTCAGCATAACACCCTCAAGTTCCATCCAGGTTGCTACACATGGCCAGATTTCATTCTTTCTCATTGCCATGTAGTATTCCATCGTATAGATAAACCACATCTTCTTGATCCATTCGTCCATTGATGGCCCTTTCCATGAGTTGGCTATTGGTGAGAGTGCTGCTATGAACATTGGGGTCCATGTGCCCCTATGCATCAGCACTCCTGTATCCCTTGGGTAAATTCCTAGCAGTGCTATTGCTGGGTCATAGAGTAGTTCTGTCGTTAATTTTTTGAGGAATCTGCACACTGTTTTCCAGAGGGGCTGCACCAGTTTCCATTGCCACCAACAGTGTAGGAGGGTGCCCGTTTCTCCACATCCTTGCCAGCATCTAGAGTCCTCTGATTTGATCATTTTAGCCACTCTGACTGGCGTGAGGTGGTATCTCAGTGTGGTTTTGATTTGTATTTCCCTGATGATGAGGGACGCTGAGCATCGTTTCATGTGTCTGTTGGCCATCTGGATGTCCTCTTTGGAGAAGTGTCTGTTCATGTCTTCTGCCCATTTCTTCACTGGATTATTTGTTTTTCGGGTGTATTCACACCTTTTCTTATTGAGGTTAAACTTCTTTAGCATATCAAGAGACTGTGGGATGGAGACTTTCTTAGTCTTTTTATGTCTCAAGAACTCTATGGTAGTTTGCTATGGCCACCATCACAAAGTACCAAGATTGGTGGCTTAAACCACAGAAGTTTATGTTCTCATAAATCTGGAGGCTAGAAATCCAAGATCAAGTTGTCAGCCCAGTTGGTTTCTTCTGAGGCCTCTCTAGGCCTGTGGATGGCCGTCATCCCACCATCTTCCCTCTGACCTGTGCCTAACTTTCCTCTCACAGGGGCCCCAGTCAGATTGGATTAGGCCCATGCTGATGACCTCGTTATAACTTAATTACCTCTTTAGAGACCTGTCTCCAAATACAGTCATATTCTGCGGACCTGGGGCTTAGGACTTGAGCATATGAATTTTAGAGGTGTACAGTTCAGACCATCATGGTATCTCAGTCTTTCCCATTTTAAACAAGGCTGTTGTAAAATCTGAAA